AGTAGTCAATTCGAGAGAATACAAATATGTTGATCAGCTTTTCAGCCACAGTTAATGATAGCATAGGGCGTAGTCTTGCGATATTTCTAAGGTGAAAAAAAAGATGTTTTGACAGTATGCTGTACATGTGGGTCGAATGTTAAGCCAGAACTTGGTTCAAGTTCTGTGGCTGGCAGAGGAATCCTACTCCAGGGGCACTGTATAAATGGCTGACACTGTGCTCTGACCCCAAGCTTCTCTCTCTCTGTCTGCCTGTGTGTTTCATGGAGAGTAAGCTGGAGTATGTGAAAAGACAAATTCCTAATACAAGAAATTGTATATGGCCAATAAAGTGATCTTATCTTATCTGGTTCTGGCCCACTTGCCTGGCTGTAAGAGAGTATCCTTCAGATGGGGTTGGGGAGTAATATTCTGGCCAGCAAGGTTATTCCCCGTTCTGTTCTTCCATGAATCAAGTTTGCAGGCCTCTGACTTAGATCGATGAAGCGATCAAAGGCAGGTAAGTATCTATCACCTGACTGATCTCAATCCTCTATATGACTGGGCACAGATCAGTCAGGTGATAGAGACTTACCTGCCTATAAATCGCTTCATTGACCTGAGTCAGAGGCTTCAAATTCCAAGCCTCAGCTCCTCTGCCTTTCTGCTGTTACTTAATGAACTAATTATTGCTCGTTTGCAAATTCTTTTTAAAAATGATGTTTGACAATTTGAAGAATTTAGAGTGCTCAGTACCTGAGGCCTGGAGAGAAGTGTTCAATTCTGTCCTGTCAATTGAACAATTAGGCCAATTTAGAAAGCAGATCAAAGTGTAGCAAGCTGTGATGGAATTCCTTCGATCTAAGTATTTTACGCAATTTCTCAAGTTACTTGCTTGATACTCAAGTTCCTTATCGATGGCCAATTAAAAGAGGCACGCTAAAGCAATAAAACTGCCACACGTGTAGCATTATCGATCGAATCACAGACTGGAAATTTCTTAAAATTTTGCCACCACATTGACACTTATGTAGGGAGAAAAGGTGGTGTAGTGTACTGTACTGCTCCCTTGCATCTTTGGGGCCTTGGGTTCAGTTCTAGACCTGAGGTGCTACCTGTGTGTAGTTTGTATTTTCTCCCTGTGTTTGTGTTGGTTTCCTCCTGCTGCTCTTGTTTCCTCCCATAGTCCAAACACATAATGTTAGATTTACTGGCTTCTGGGAAAATTGGC